CAGATACAACCCACTTAGCCCGGAGTCCTTCAGACAACCACCAAGAAAACATCCCTTCCCTCCTCTTCATCCCTGGAAGACTATCCCTGGTCTGTCCTCAGCCAGGACCTGCTGTGTGGCCTAGGCCAGCATCTTTCCCTCTCTGAACTTTCTTGGAGAGCATAGGAGGTAATATCCAGGCCAAGGGTAGTCTGGCTACCAAACAAATGTGGGCTGGGCAGAGTGTAAGGCAGGGCTAGATGCTTCCCACAGACTCTAGACACCCTGCTTGCCTGCCTCCTCTCCCTGCCTCCAGAGCCAGCCTGGAGAAGCCTGGCTCCTAGGTGGGCACCTGTACTCATATCGCTACACACAAAGTATGTGCCCTGAGTCTTAGGGATCTTAATCTTTCCAGGCCTCGTGACCCTCATGCGACCCTCCTCAATCTGTGAAGAGAAATGCTGCTCAGGATCCAGGAGGCAGAAAGGGGCGAGAAGGAAGCTGGGAGTGACTGGTGTCTGTTGAGGCTGTAAGAAGTCCACCCCCCTGGGAGCTGTCACCTCCCTGTCTTGCCTGGGGTGGAAACACTTATGGCAACGGAGGCAAAGGAACCTCAGGAAACCAGAATTATATGGCTCTGAGCAGGTGGGGATGAACTCATGGTGAAGACGGAGAGCAGGTGCTTGTGGCCCGATGGCCACTATCTGCTACTGTCGTGCCTGCTGACCCAGAGTTGGGAAGAAAGTGCCCCATCCTAAGGGCTGAGCTGAGAGGAACAGGCAGGAAGACAGCAATGAGGCAGGAGTTACCCAGCCAGGAAAGTGGCCTGGGAGCAGGGAACCAGGCCTGTCCATTTGCTTGCTTGATCGGGAACAATACCACATTAGGAGATACCACTATGGCCTTCACTTGTAGAAGAAGCAGGTAAGGCAGACAGGGGGTAACTTGCCCGAGATTACAGAGCTAGAAAAGACAAGAACCAGAACACAGCCAGCTAGGTGGTGGCAGGGATGGCCTCATTGCACCTAGAGTATCTGCACTGTCACCTGATAACCCGTGATGAAGGGAAAGGGTGTTGGTGGCTTACCTGCTCACAGCCAAACCTGGTGTCACAAATGTGTAGTTGATAGAAACAAGTTAAGAATGTACATCAGATACCCTGTATCCTGGGGCCTTGTATACAAGGAAGGCTTGAGAGGCTACCTGGAGTCAGTTGCCTATCTACAGTGTTACCCTCCAATAGCAGCAGCCACGTGTAGTTTTAAATTTATCTTAAATAAAGATCAGTAAAATTAAAAAATTTTAATTCACAGTCCTCAGACTGTGAGCCACATTTCAAGTACATAGCCACCATAGCAAATGGTGACTGTGTTAGATGGAGCATACACGGGAGGTAGCCACCACAGCCCTCAGGGCCACAGACAGCGCCATCTAGAGGTTGCTATTGGACTTGGCTGCTGGGCTCAAGAGCCCAGATCTCGGTCACCCCAAGGGCCAGGTTGAGCAGCCTAAGAGAAAGGCAAGATTGTACTGGAAGGGAGGAGAAGGGAGCAGAGAAAGAGGGCCTTCGTGTCCTCTCTGCCCTCTTGGGAGCCCTGGCTGGGTGATGAGAAAGCCCATCTCCTAGGAAATGCTCTTTCCACCCCACGGAAATAGCTTAGGCTGCAACTTCCCAGAAGCTGACTAGAGCTTGTCTTGGCTCCCTTAACCATGACTGATACGGACACGAAGCCCTCCATGGGGCAACTGGTCACCACCTTCCTCTGGGTTCAGACAGAAGCAGGGGACTCCAGGCAGAGGAGCTGGAGAGAGTCCCGGAATGTGAGTTTTCTGCTAGCTGAGCCTACAGTATGTTGAATCACAGAAAACAATAGGGAGACTTCCTGCTCTTCAGAACTTTGTTGTTTGATAGTGAGGGTACTCTAGCCCTCGGCCTCCTCTTGATTCTACTCTGACAATCCTCACACACATTTCCTGCTTCAGATTTTCAAAGTCTACTGAGCAGCTGGCAGAGCCTGCAGCGTGCCAAGGGGAGGATTTGGGGGTACCCTCCTAACCTATCTGGGTAGCCTCAGTGCTAGAATGGATGGCTGATGGCAAGCGCCCTCAACAGCTTTAGAGAACCCTGAGGCAGAAGGACACCATGAGACTAGGAGTCAGGAGATTGGTTTTAGCCCATTTTGCCCATGACCTCAAATAATCCCTCTCCTTTTTGAGAATAGGACAATCCTGGATGAAATGGCTAGACACAGGACTCTGAGGTGTGCCTCCTGCTGGCCCACTCTGAGAACTCTTCCTCCCCCCATTCTACACTGATTCCCATTTCTCAGGGATGCCAACATTGGGCCTTGGAACCAAAGGACTGGGTATATAAACCTCCCCATATCAGGGTTTTGTTTCTGATCCCTGATATATGTAACCAGGGTCATGGCTCAGAGTATGACTAGGACTTGGGTTCAGAAATAGGCCAGGATCAGATTTCAGTGTGGGGGATCTAGATCAACACTCAGCATGTTACCAGGATTAGGATTCAACTTTTGACTAGGAACAGGGTCTAGCCTGTGTCTAGGATTAAGGTTCAGTGTGCAACTAGGATCAGGGATCAGCTTATGACTAGGGCCTGTGGTCACTGAATTCACTGTCATCCAGGGGTCACACCTGAGTCTATGATGTGTTAAGAGTTTTGTTTCTAGCCAAAGATAGTAGCTTGAAGGCACCAAGGGTTGCATACCCTCTCAAATCCCCGAGGGAGTCCCAAGGTTTGGTGTCCAGCTGTTTGGGGCTGCCTCAGAAAGAAACCATCAATTTTCAGCATCCAGGTTTCTCCAGGCCCCTGGAAGAAGCTAATTTAGGTATAGGATGTTGTCTTGGTAAAATGGCAGTGTGGCCCCTACTTCCAGGTATACTGCTTGTTGCCAGTGTTTAGGATCCACTCTGATTTCTTTCCTTCCTTGAAGAAGGGCACAAGGGACAGCCAGGCTCTGGTCTGCTCTGCCTCTGGGAGATGGACCCATCTGGGCTCTGGGTTAGGAACTGAGATGAGGGCCAACTCTCTGAAAAGAGCAAGTCAGTGGTGGTGATGGTAGGGCAAATAGGAGAATCTCATGCAGCGACAGGAAGGGCATGCCTTCCTGCTAGAAGCTACCGTCTGGGAAGTGAGACCATTTGGCCCTGGATAATCTAATCTCAGAGGGTCCCAAAAACCCTCCACTAGATCCAGAAAGGGGATCCAAGGATGGTTGCTGCCCTCCTCCACTACTGCCAGAAGGGGAAGAGAGAAAAGGCTGAAATCTTCATTCAGCCTAGCTCCTTGGCTGCCTCTTCGCCTGATATCAGAGGCCCTCTGGTGGCTACAGGCTGCTACTGTAGTGGGGAGACCAGAGCAAGGGGGAGGTGTACAGCAGTGTGGTCTCAAAAGCACCCCAGCACACAACCTCCTTGTGTTACTGTCAAATATGTGGGAAAGCCCCTTTTCTGGGAGTGGTGGGAGTTATGCACTGTTCAAGGAGTTGGCTTGGGAAAGGGGATCTTTTTACTCTTCCTTGGCTACCTGTGGCCTTCTGATCAGTCGTTCAGGACAAACCTTGGGTTCAGGCCACAGACTGACCTTGCAGGGGTGATGGTGTGGATGGAGCTCTTCCAGGAAAGATGTACTGTGTGTGGGGCCTGGCTGATATGGTGGCCCTCCAGTCGGGGTGAGGAGGGACTGGTTGCATGAGGTGCTGGCTGGAGGCTCTGGTGGGGGGCTGAAGAGCGGTGTGGGATGGGTGCTGACTCTCAGGTTGTGTAGTGGCAGTGCTGTGGATCACACTGGTGCTGGCAGTAGTACCCTGAGGTAAATAGAGGGAAGCAAACAGCCTGGGCCAGGTGTTGGGTTTGGGCTGCAGTGGTACCAGTGGCCTGCCTAGATGTTTTGTGTGCAAAATACTGGACTCTGGTGTAGTCTTGCATTCAGAGTGAACCACAAGTCCTGAAGCAGAAATAAGGGGTTGAGGCTGAAGCATTCTGGCTGAGGTCATTTCACCAGGATCTCGGTTATCTTTCCAGAGGGGAGGTCCCTTTGGTATCTTCCCCAGGTATCAGAAGCAGCTCAGGGAAAAGGAAACCTCATGATGAGAGACAAAGAAGCTGAAAGGGCCTATGTCCCTCATCTGGTGGAAACAAAATCCAAATGCCCCCTGTCACCAGTCAAACAAGAACTGAATGTTTGGGGACAGATACAAAGGGTCAACAAGAGGTAAGATCTTGCTTTCAAATACACCTTCTTTCCTCTGTGTCTCCAATTCCCTTCCCACAGTATCTCAGGACAGTAGGCTCCCCTCCAAGAAAGACTGGACCAGTCCAATCTGAGCAGTTTAGTGCTCCCCTTGGATGGGCCCCTAGTTCTGCCTCTATCTGCTTACCCATCAGTCATCCAGCCCACTTACCCACCCATCCACCTATGCATGCATCATGCTTCCATCTGCACTGCCAACTCACCCCTGCGGCCCTCCACCATGTGCACCCATCCATTTATGCTCAACTCCGAGTCCATCCTCACCTCCTCCCTGTGTTCCCATCATCTACCTCCTTCCCCTCCCCTATGATCCCATCCCAATCTCCAGTCATTCTTTCATTGTCCATCCATCCAACCTCCTGCCTGCCACCTCCGTCCACACTCACGTACTTCACCCACCCTTCCAGTGCCCATCCACCCACGCACCTATGTGCCTAGCCCAACTTCCTTCTATTCATCCACCATCCGTAGGTCTTTCATCCATCATCCTCATCTATCCGCCCAGACGGCAGCCACTCCCCTGCTGCTGGAGGAGCCAAAAGCGAGAGACCCAACTCCTGGTTTTCCTATAGCACGGGGCAGGCGCCCGCTTTCCTAGGTGTGCGCGCCGGGATTTCACCCGCCCCCTCCCCGTTATCTCGCTCCCCTCCCCCACACCCCGCCACCCGCTCGCGTTCCCCCTCTAATGTGTGATCTGGAAGCTCTATAAAGCCTGATGTAATCCGTAATGCAGTCTCTGGCTCCCGATTCGGGATCCAGTTTCAGAGAGCGAGAGATTGGGGAGCGCTGGCAGCCGGGCGGGGGAGCAGCTCTCCTCTCTCCTCCTCCTTCCCCTCGTCCTCGGCCTCCTCCTCCTCGCCGCGCCGCCCCGCCCCCGGCTCGGATCGGTTCGCCCCCCCCTCAGGAAGGGGAAAAAAGGCGAGAAGAGCGGGGCCGGCGCAAGGAGCGGAGCGGTGGCGCGGCCGGAGAGGGAGCAAGCGGCGGGCGCAGGCGGCGGCGGGCGCGGCGTTGGCGGCCCGAGGAGCGAGCGGAGCCGAGCGGGTGGCACTGGTGGCCGCACCGCGTCCTGGCGGGGCTCGGACCTTGCTCCCTGCATCTCCCGCAACGCGGGCATCCGGACCCTCCCGGCGCCTGGGGGCTCTAGCGGGCGGGGGTGGGGAGGGGCCTGCGTGCGCCTGCGGGTGCGCTCCAGGGGGCGTCGCGGAGAGGCCCGGAGTGGGCAGGGGGCCGCAGCTGAACGAGGAGCTCCCCTGCCGGGCGGGCGCCTGGGTCGGCCGCAGGCGACGCGAGTCACTCCGGAGGATTTGCAACTCGCCAGATCAAGTCTTCGCCTGCGGGGCCGCGGCTGCTGGGGAAGGTAAGGACAGCACTGGCGGGGACTGGGGGCTCGGAGGCGGGGGCGCCGTGCGGGCAGGAGCGGGGAGGGAAGGGGCGCGCGCCTGGACTTCCCAAGTTCGCCGTTTGGGGTTTCGCAGCTTCAAGCTCGGATCTTGGGAGTTTGGAACACCCACCCCCCCCAGCCCCTGCTTCCTTGGATGGCGGCGATGAAATCTGGCAGGTCCCGGCGCGCCTGCATTAGGCAGGCTGAGGAAGGGGCGAACCCGGACGTCGGAGAGGCTCCTCCACTCTGCTCTCCTTCCCCCATCCACGCACACGCGCGCACACACAGCTTGGCGCGGCTGGCAGGCTGAGGAAGGCGCCCCCTCCTCATCACAGCTCAGCCCCGGGTGGGCTGGGGAAGGCGTTCCCGCGGTGCTCCAGCGCATGCAGACGCTGGCCGGGGTCTGAGGAGCCCACGCAGCCCTCTAGCCATACACTGACGCGCGGGGACCCGGGAGAGATACCCTTAATTGTCCCCCCTCCTAATCATACCGAGCCTCCTCCAGACATTTTAGGGGCCTGAGACATCTTCCCCCAACGCACAGAGCCCAAGGCAGGGAGAGAAGACCCCAGACTCCCCCTAGGCGGCCCTCTCTACAGACTCCGGATCCGTGGAGACCTCGAGAGGCACCCCGCCCCCGCAGCTCGGGCGGTGGGCTATCCTGGTGCCCCACAGCATCATGAACACGCAAATGCTCCGGCGCATTCCTTTCTCATCTTTCTTTGCGCTCGGTCAGGCGGCAGAGCAGATAAGGCTCTCTGAACTTTGGGGTCGGCCCTGAACCTTCTCTGCCTGAGGCAAAGATACCGGCGCCGCTCTCTCCTGGGTCCGCTCCCCCCCCCCCCATCCCGGCAGAGGCCGCCACCCCTCGGCTGCCGCTGCGCTCGCCTGGAGCCCCGCACCACTGCCTGGAGGAGCGAGCACGGCTCCCGCCCCCTCTCGGGATGCGGCCAGGAATCCTCGCCCCTAGTACCCGCGGCCCCCAGGCAGGGCAGAGAACATTGCCAGCCTCAAGAGGGCTCGTCTGAGGCCGCAGCGCTGAGCCTGGGTCCCTCCGCCTGGCCGCGCGGCTCTTGCTTGGTCACTCCCACGTAACCCAGCGGAGCGTCCAGCCTGGCACCCCAGATTTGGCCTGCTGGGCTCCTTACCCTTCGACTTTTATTTTGGGCCTCCAAGTTTTTTGAAGCTCACAGATCTGGGCTCGGACCGGAGCATCCCCAAACCACTACTCCTTAAGCATCCTTTCTTTCTGTGAGATCCCTATCACGTCCCATTTCCCCCGGGTCTGGGACGCAGATGCCTTAGCGGCAACTCCCAAGGAGTTGAAAGGCAAGAAGACATGTGGGTGGGCAGGGGGCGCGCACCCTGACCCAGAGGAGCCGCTTGGCAGGCATTTGGTTAGAGTACTGGGAGGTCTGCATTTGCGTCGCACCCTAGGGACTCAAGGAGACCCTTGATGTCCTCAGCCATGTACCCAAATGCACGCCCCCTCCAAAGGAGCGCCGCCGCAGCGGGAAAGCCACGGCCGCACAGGCGGAGGCGAGTGGAGAATTGGGAGGGAGGGGGCCTTTCCTGTATCTGGGAGGCGCTATTCGGTGTTTGGGGTCCCAGAAAGCGAATATAACATAACCTCTCCCAGAACCCTCAAACCTTCCATTCTTTTGCTACCCCCGCAGCCGAGAAGGCAGCGACAGAGGTCGAGGGGGAGGCGCTCCCTCCCAGACCGCGGGCGTCTGCGGAAACTGCGCCCGGACGCCGGGGTACCGCCGGGTCCGGCTTTGAGTATCCGAGCAAGGTCAAGCAAGCGAAGGAGGGGGCGGGGGCTCCCGGGCGCGCCCCAGCTCGCGCGGAGTCCGGGCCTGGAAAGGGGGTGTGGGTCGTCCTCGATCAATTCCGCGCGCCCGCAGCCAGCGTCTAGTCCCCGGAGGCGGACGTAGCGCGCGTTCGGGGATCCCGGAGCTCCGGGCTCCCCGCACCGGGCCCTGCGCTCTGTCTGGCGGCGTGCTCTGTGCTGCTTCCGACTTGTTGCGCCTGAATCTAGGGTGGGGAGACTAGCCTGGGAGCCTTGGAGCCTAGGCGGTGGGCTGAGCCCAAAGGCCAGAGGCTGCGCCAAAGAGGCGCGCGGCTGCGCAAGCGGGCGCTGCGCTGGGGGCGCGGGCCCGGAGTTTGCTGCCTCAGATCCGGGAGAAGGGCGCTTGTCCCCGCTGCGGTTCTGCGCGGGGGCGGAGAGGAGGCGATTCGTCTCTTTCCGCATCATGCCACACTCCTCTGGATCCTTGGGCCGGGGAAGGGACGCAGCCAACCAAGTTGCAGAGTCCTCCAAGTCCCTTCCTAGACCACAGGCTGTGGCCCCTCTGGGGCCTCCGGGGCTGTGTCCGTGGTATGGAAACACAGACTGTGCCCTTGGAGCCCCTCCGGCCCTGATCTCTAGCTTTCATCCAGCGATCAAGCGTTTTAAGTCCGCAGCTGGGTCTGCGGCATCTGGGTCGGCCGAGTTCCGAGGAGGCTCCGCGCCTGTAGACACAGCCGCGAGCTGGAGCAGGAGCCAGCCCCGAGAGGATCGGGCAAGTGGCAAGGCCTGAGTGGCTTTCCGCAGAGCTCTGGCCTACTGGCTGACCCACCCGCTCCCGCTATCTAGAGCGGGTCTGGGATCCTGAGTCTGTCCCTTGGGGACTACGTAGGGCTTCAGGCCCAGGCGTCCGACGCCCAGCTGCGGTGGCGGAGGGCGGAGGACCGGGCGCGCTGCCTCTGGTAGCCGGGAGAGGGCGCCCGCGCCGCGTCCGCGCCAGCCTGCCCGCCCCTTCCGTCTCCTCCGTTATCCATGGCGTTCTGGCTGGCCCCATCTTGGGTAGACCCCGGCCGCCCTCTGTAGTACCTGGCTCGTGCCGCTAGCCCCTGTGACGCACCTCGACTCCCACACGCTTCTCCTCAAACTCTCCTGGCCTCGGTCCACCGTGCACAGGCATGAGTTCGCGTGTTCATGCACGTGTACATGTGTGCACGCGTGCACGTGCGTATCCGTCCATGCGCCGGCTGCCTGGTGTGTATGCAGGCATGCAGACTTCACACCCTGCGCGGCAGGGCCAGATCGGATCACCCCGTTTTACTGTGTCACATGATCCTACACAGAACCATGGGAGCCAAACTCTTGCCTCTCAGGACCCTGATCCTGGAAGGTTTTCTTAACCCTCTGAGTCCCCACAAACCCACTGGTCTTTGCCCTCCAGAACCCTTCCTTCCTGGCTGGAGCTGGGCCATGGTGAGGTACCCTTTTGCACACCCTAAATACAAACAAAGCAGGCCTCACTAGCTGCTGGAAATGCACTGATGGGCAAAGCTTGACTCCCTGAGCCTAGTGGAAAGGAGAGAGGAAGAGGGATGGGAGAAAAGACACGGGGGAGATACTTACAGGGAGGCTCCCAAGAAGAAGCAACAGCTAAACTAGAGCTCACGTAAGATTTGGACAGGCGAGAGTGTGTAAGGGGTCAGAAGGTTCGAGACAGAGGGAACAGCTATGCAAAGGTCTTGGGGCATGTGAAAGCACATGTGTGAGAAAGGCAGGCATTGGAGGGTGGGCAGGGCAGGGGTTTCTGGGCAGAAGGGTACTTTGCCCAGGAACCCAGAAGGCTCTGGGAACAATGGGGAGGCAACCAGGTCTTAGTGTAGTTAACCTGGCTGTGCAGGGTATGGCCTGAATGCCTTCACACACATGCCAGAGATGTTGAGCGCTGCTTTGGGAAGTTGTGTCACTGGGAGTGGGTCCAGAGGAAAAGTTCACACCATGTTGTAGAGGCTGCCCACGCTCACAACTGTATCAAACAAAGGACACGTGCACATCCATCATGGCTGGATGGACTGCACTAGCCTGATGTGATCTGAGACCCACCTACTCAGGGCACAGCATAAACACACACACAATTCAAGTATGCCCATCCCACAGAGAAGGACATGGGAGGCCAGTGCAACACTATCCTAACTCCCCATAGGGAGGTACACACAGGTGCACAAGCCCTCTGCTCATGTGCCTGCCCATGCACACAACGCATGCAGATAGAAGTGTGGGTCCCAACTGCATTTCCGGGGCACCATTCATGGATGTGCACATCCTGGGATGTGGTCCATTGCTGGCTCCATAAGCCCTGGGCTGAAAGAACAGGGAAGAGTCCAAGGGGTGGGGGTAGGTGTAGAGCTCTGCCAGGCGGCAAGGGAAGCAGTGGGCTGCAGGTGCCTGCATTCAGATCTCAGTGTCTCCTGCCTCAAGGCTGAGGGGAGAAGCTACCCCAGGGAAACTGACAGTCTGCCTGAGAGGGAGTGCCACCCCCTGACTCCTTCCCCTTTCCTACTGCTGCGTTTTTATTATCAGGAAGAGGGAGCGGGCTGGTGTGTGAAGGGAGCTTTGAACACTGGGTGCCCTCCTCCACCTGTGTCAGCCCTGCTGTGGCTTTCTATTATCCTTCCAGAAAGCCAGGAGTCTCCACAAGCAGGACTACATGGTGTCCAACTCACGAACAGCTTGGACAAGAGCAGGGTCTTGTGTGTACTGCCCCTCCAGGAACACTGTCCCTGGCCTGCCCTCACACAACTGAACTCTCACTCTCATCTCCCCTTTTCTGTACAGTTCTGTACATCCCCTCTTCCTTTTCTGTACAGTTCTCTGCCCAGCACAGATGTGCACAGATCTCACACCCATGCACACCTGCCCTCTCTCCCCATCCTTATGTCCAATACCAGCCTCTGTTAGGCTCATTTTGAGCTCCCACCCAATGGTCCCTACTGCCCTGTCTACAGGCTCCCACTACAACACACCCCACTGTCCCTGCCACCTCACCCACCCTTTTATACCCCCTTCCACTGCTGCCTTCCTCAGCACCACTCCCCTGTCTACTGCCCAACTTCCTGGTTCAGATGTCTGGCCATCTAGGGCATGATCAGGCCTTCAAAGCTGCATGCATCTGCTTGGGCAGGCATATGCAGCT